CAATCTGTGACATCGGTGTCCCTTCGCTTTCAAGCTGGGTGCATTTGTGACACACTTGCTTCTTTGAGTTTATTTAACAACATTAACCTTCGTTTTTACGTCACCAATCCGGAATACCTTGATCATAGGCTTCACGTAAAATTAAATAATCACTATAGTGTATAATCCCCTTAGTCCTTCTCACACAATCTTTCCGATTTGCCTCTTTCAGAGGGAGCGTACCTATGAAACTCCTAATTGCAAATCAGACGCTCTACCGACTGAACAATCTAGGTCAGAGTTCAACAAAACTAACCGTCGATTAAGCCATGCTCTTCCATAATCAGAATTGGCATAAGTCAAGGATCCAGATGACAATCGCAAAAGACTTAATTCTGGAAGGAGCTTGCGAGACAGACCAAACTCTCGATTAGAGTTCATTATCGTCATTCAACAGAACGCTGCTGACAAGTGACAATGCGTTTGTCTCTTTCTATTTATAGACCTCCACTGTCCATGAATTAGATCAACCAACTAAGGTCTGTATCTTACAGCCTTGAATGATATCTTTCAACAATCGAACCTAAACGGGTGGCTCAGTATTGAGCCGGTAGCAAAATCACATCCATCAAGAGAGCGGGTGTGCCTGTGGAATGATCTGGCGAAAGGTGAACAAACGTTAGCTGCAATTTGTACCGCAGGATATTACTAATGAGGAACGACGCATGATTTCGCAGCGTATTGTTCATTTGCTGAGCCGGCAATGCTGAGAGGCATGTGACCCCAACGTACATCGCTGCGTCTCACTAACAACCTCCGTTTGATGTTCAACAACGGCACTCATCTCTCTTGACAAAATTTTTTGTTTTGTAACTTTCTACCATGGCAATATGCAGGCTATGAAATTCGCACATCGGTAACTAATGCTATGCAAGTTTTGTCGCAACTATGCCGCCGTCTCAAAGCATACTGCTATATATTTGAACTAAACAATTCATAGACATGAGTGATTCTATTGAATGTTGCTTAATTAAATTAATTCAAATTAATATTTAAACAAAAACTAGTACCAAAGCTATAGTTACCCATATATAAATGGTCTTCTCCAGGATTTTCTAAAACCTAAATGTAGAAATATTTTGATTAGTAAAGTTCAATATTATACACCCATATAGTCAGAAACATTTTCATTCCTTTATGGTATATTCAATCTAAGCATCTATACCGCAGATAAAGGCATCGATAATTTAACATGTCGATAGTAAAGGCATCGATAATTTAACATGTCGATAGTAAAGGCATCAATAATTTAACATGGTAAAAATGTCTGACGTCTTCCTCATTTCCGCAGGTGGCCGTGAATATAGAAGTTTTTATAATGTAATAGTCGAATTCTTCCAACTCTCGACTATCAGGGAATCTTGAGACCATACTTTTTCATTTTCATGTGTAATGCATGAACTGTGGCCCTGGTCTTCTATCTGTCTTGTCAGTCTCTGTTCAGCTTCAACGCAATACAATGGGGAGATGCCATCAAGCATTATTTGGATATAAATACAGCAGCTGACCGGATAAACGCCATTTCAATGTTTTTAGTCAGAATTCTTTTAGTTGGTAAAACCGCTTTGTGGTTTTGTAAAACTCTGCTAATGAGAGCCGCGTTAGTCGACTATTTCCTGATTCATGAAAAGCGCTTATGGTTATTGCAATGATTTTGTATCATTACCGTATGTCACCATGTTTCACATCTTTTACTTTCTGCATCGCTCACTTTCTGCTAGAGGCATTATCAGGGCAAAACCGGTGAATCGGATGTTCTGATCCACTGAAGTAACTGTGTGGTTCATAATAATCTTAAAAATGATCAGCCTAACGACTAGCATGGATCATTAGGAGGAAGTGGATTTCCGTATTCCTCACGGCAGACCCATCAAACGGTGAATCGCATGAACGAAGGACCTGACTTGCACAACAAATCGCGACAATTTTTGATGCCTCCGGTTGGAACATTACCCTCTCTCTTAACCGGATTTACAGGACGAAATCGCGCTTTCCCTTCAGTGTATTGGATTTTTTCACGAGGTCACTGCTCCGTGGCATCTTAGTGTTTGCGGTGCGTAGAGGCAATGCCGCTTCTCAATATTTAGTCGAGAAAACATCCGTTCGATCACTAGTTCAGGTGGACTGAGCAACGGTCGCTCAAGCACGCACTGTAGGTCATGAGTCGACACTTGCTGGAAAGGTCCTCAGGACATCTAGAAGCAAG